TTAAAATACAGGTGCTGGTCATAAAATTAGAATATTGTGAAAAAGTTGATCATTTCGTCAGTGTGTGTTCGGCAACTGTTTGCTAAAATCTGGCAACTCTCAGGTTTAATAATAAAGTTATGAACAAATATGACTGTCTTGTGGTTTGGGGAGCCATGCTTGAACTGTGTCGCTCTCCTCTGCTGCTGAGCAGCTGGTGACGCTCGTCACCCACAGCACGCATACGACAGAGTATTAACGCAAAGTGAGAGCGTTACCTGCCCCTCTTCCTCTTTAACAATTTTTTTTGTTTGTTTTTTAGTTTGTCAAAGCACAATTTTTTATTTATTTTTTAAATACAGAAGTAATGTTTAATAAATGTTAGGACTCTATTCTTTGCTAACAAGTCCTCCGCTCTGGACGCATTTCATCCACAGCGCGCAGCAACAAAGAGTATAAACTCAAAGCGAGAGCGACACCTGCCTCTCTTTCTTCTTACATATCTTACAGATATTTAACAAATGTTAGGACTTTATTCTTTGCTAACAAAATATATTTTATGTCACTAAACAACTTGTCAGGTTCTTCTCTTCTGAGCGCATTCCCTTGGACCTTGTAAGTTGATCTATATTTCTATTTTTTTATTTTAATGTTAATAAGAATACAATGTTATGCAGAGGTGTACTTATAACAGTTTTATAGACAAATTATACTATTTACAGTCGCGGCAGAGAGTTGGGGGGGCGCAAAATGTTTACTTCTTCCTAGGGGGGGCGTAACAGAAAATAATTGAGAAGCATTGGTGTACTGCAATAAACCTTTGTAAAATACACCAGAATGCAGGAAATGGCATCTACTTTATCCAAGATTCTCAGGGATAGGACCCCGTTTCTGTTTCCGATGAAAGTAAAGTGTGCCTTTCATTCAGAAATCAAGGTCCAAGGGTTTGGAGGAAGAAGGGTGAGGAACAGAACCCATACTGCTTGAGGTCCAGTGTGAAATATCCACAGTCAGTCATGATTTGGGGTGCAATGTCCGGTGCAGGTGTTGGTAAACTCTGCTTTCTTAAATCCAAGGTCACTGCAACAGTCTACCAGAATGTTTTAGAGGACTTCATGATTCCTTCTGCTGAGGATCTGTATGGAGATGCAGATTTCATCTTCCAGCAGGACCTGGCCCCTGCCCATGCCACCAGAAGCACCAAAACCTGGTTTGATGCCCATGTCACAGTGCTCGACTGGCCAGCCAACTCATCGGACCTAAACCCCATTGAGAATCTATGAGGTCTTCTCAAGAAGAAAATGAGGGGCACCAGACCCAACAACAAAGAAGATCTGACAGCAAGCATCAAGGAAATCTGGGCTTCCATAACTCCCAGTCAATGCCACAGGCTGATTGACTCAATGCCACGTCACATCGAGGCAGAGATTAAGGCAAAGAGATTCCCAGCCAAGTATTGAAGACTGACATATTGTTTTGAAAGTATCATATATTGATTGATTTGTTGTGATCCTCATTTCTTTCTTTTTTTTCTCTGCAAAAACTGAGAAGTAGTGTGGGCTGATGTCTTCACAGTATTCTAATTTTTTGAAATCCAGTTTTTGCGGAGTTCATGAGCTGGAAGCCCAAATTATGTAAAAATAAACAAATAAATATTGAAATCGTTTAAATTGTGGGCCCTGAATCATCATCTGTTAAAGATGAACTTTTTGAATGGAATTATGGAAGTTAAACAACTTTTCCATGATATTCTAATTTTGTGGAAAGGGCCTGCAGATAAAAGAAACATTTCCTTTGGGAGGGTTCAGGGACACAACAGAGTTCTGAGAAAACAAGCTTTTCTCAAAATTTGTCAGTTACAGGTTGGCCAAGAAAAATACCAGGATGTTGTTGGTGTCACAATGTAGCTTAAAAAACAGGACTCTGCAAATGTACTGTGTTCAGTTTGACCAAATATGACTTAATCACTGATTTGATGTAAAAACTCCTCTTATTTCCACAGCCCCAGATCATCTTCAGTCACTTTATTCTTGATTTCAAACAGAAGAAATATGCGAATCAAACTAAAACTCACCTTAAATCAAAATAAAACAAGTATAAAACATGTCAGGCTGAACTGTGTGCTGATGTTATTCTTTTAGTCGTGTTGCAGTCACTGTTGCAATATTCTGTTTTCATTTCTCCCAGCAAGATAAAAATCTCAGACTGCAGAATGTTTTTATCATGGTGACTCTTGATTAAAAAAAAAAAAAAAAGTATAGCTGCTCTGTACTCTCTCCAGTGTTCGTTTAATTTTATAACCGATTCATGTCAGTGTCGTTGATTTTTGTTGTTGTTGATCTCACCTGAAGATTTTGACTTGTGTGAGGGCGGAGCTGAAGTCTCGGGCTCTCAGCGTTTCAATCAGAGACTGGATCGCCGTCTCTGTGTTGGTCTGGACATTGTCTGACATGCACACATCCTCCTGACCATCATTTCCTGTTTCTGCTGCACTCAGGCAGCTCTCCAGGATACTGAGTTCTTCAGACATGTTGGTTACCTTGGAAACAGACACAAAAACATGACTTATCACAGCATCAAAGCACCATTAAAACAAACAAAAAGGCAAGCTTTCATGTGCGATTACACCTGGAAGGTCAGGACGGTAACCTTGATGTAAATAAATTAGACTCAATCAGTGAATAATGAGAGTGATTCAGTTTGCTCAGGTACCAGAATCTGATTAAAGCTCTGTCGTGATGCAGCTGAGATAGAGATGAAGTCCGATACAAAGTAACAATGGTTCATAAAACCTTAGTTTAAAACTCTGCTGCACATCTTACAGAAAGTCATGCACAGTTCAACAGATTTTATTAACCTCTACAAAAACTAAGCAAGCATCTAAAAAAAAATGATGCAGGACATCCGAGTTTCAAAGGTTAAAACTATTGTGAGCATCTTTCACACAGCAAACTGTTTGTTGTGCACACATTTTAAGTGTTTGTTCACGTCGCTCTTAACATAATAACATTTATTTATTTCATGTGTCCGCAACTCAGTTTGATTAAATTAGGACAGTTTGTACAAACAGCTTTACGAATGTGTTTGTGAGTCTTTGGTCAGAGCTTTGATTAAAAGTTTCTACACTCAGATCCAAGTAGAATTATCTCATCTCATTTTTATCAGCACCAATATCAATTTTTTTTTATCCTTCAATCATTTCTCATTGAAAGCAGAGAGTTCAAATGTTTTACTTCTTGTTTTTAGCTCGGATAATAAACTCCACGTTCTCAACAGGTCCAGACTTAACCGAACAAAGAAATAGGTGACAATGTTCTGCAACCGTGGAGCAGAGTTCAGAGAAGGTGGGCCTGTGATTGGAAGAACGCTAGTCCAACTCCCGGTACAGACAACATCAAAATGTGGGTGGGATACGTGAAGCACCCACACCTGCGTCCACCCTCATTTGCCCCACTCTGGGCAAATGAGCCACCATCTGCTCCCCCGGGCACCCTAGATGTCAGCTCTCTGCTCCACACAGAGGGCTGTGGTAGCTCGGTGGTCTGTGGTTGCGTCAGGAAGGACATCCGGTGTAAAAACAACTGGCAAGTCTTCATGCAACTTTATTTGCTGTGGTGACCCCTGAAAGGGAGCAGCGGAAAGAAGAAGAAGAAGAAGAAGAAAAAATCTACAACAACTCTGTCTCGTGTTTTACAAGTTATTTTACTTTTCCTCATTTAAAAGAAGGAAGTTCTGACTTTGCATTTGTTGTTAAAGTGAGTAAAATCTGTTATTCAATTTTGGCTTTACAAATGGTAAATAATAGAGCTCGACCGATGCATCGTAGGGCCGCTATTTTACGGCGATATAAACGTTTGGGGGCCTATCGGTATTGTGACAATTGTTCCATTATGCGCCAATACTGTATACTATAAACACTTTTCCCTAAATTGCTGGAACCATCTGTAATTGTACAATGTATCGAGCAGAGGGCGCATGAAGACTACTTTCAAGTCACAGCCTTTAAGTTTTACTTTCACAGTCAGCACAGACGAAGCAGGGAGCAATACTGTGTAGAGTATTTTGTGTAAGTTTATTTTAACTGATCTGTAAAATAAAGACACAATAATAAATTTTCTTCAATCCTCCAACCCGCTTGTCATTAGCTACGTGCCTCTCAAGTTAGCAAGCTAACGTTAGTGTTCAATTGCACCGACTTCATGACATTAGCTCCGTTGTTGGTACCAGTCCTGTCGGACTGAGCTTCCATTTTGTGAGGACATCCAGCGTTAGTAACGTTATCTTCGTCATCCTCAATGAGTGTTCATTGTTTGTCTGAAATTTTTACTTCTCTACAAAAAACAAACAAACAAAAAAAATGCTGCTGTGGTCAATACTAATTAGACCTTCACCATATGTGACTGACTGTTTAAACAATGAACAGGGAAGGACGTTTCTTTGTTTAGTTTGTACCGTAATTGCCGGTGTATAAGCCAATACCTTTTTTTCATGTTTTGGACTCCGTGACTTATACACAGGAGCAACTAATTTATATATTTTTTTAAATGTTAATATTTTATTTTTACATTATATTTTGACAGGTTGCCAAGCTTCCTGCTGCTGAATAACATTTTCCTTCGACATACCTGGGTGCTCATATAGCTGCCCAACACACACCCCTCTTGAGGGCAGGTTTTTGTGACAGAGTGAATGCAACATATACCGTATATTCCGCCGTACACGTCGCTCCACCCTATAAATCGCATCAATCCATATTGTCTAATAAAGTGCAAAAATCCATAAATATGTCGCTTCACCGTATACGACGCATCTATTATGAATCACTGCTGACGCGTCGCGTTTGTTACGTGTCACCGCTGACAACCCAAAAATGTGGGTCAGTGTTGTGTCATAAATGGATAGGCTGCCAAATGGAAGCCACAGGAGCGTGCACAGGAGGACTTTAACAAGAATTCAACAAGATTAACACTTAAAAACAATTATTTGTTTGCTTGAAATTATAGTAATGTGTGTCTCGGTCTAACATTTGCTTAATAAATGCATTCCGACAGTCAAATCAGCTGAATTTCAAAAATAGTTTTGCTGCCCGGGAGCACGCAGAGGGAAGGAACAAAAGAGGAGAAACGTGGCTCGTTCCTTCGAAACTGAACAAGAAAAGCACCTAAACAATTATTTGATTGCTTGAAATTAGAACAAAGGTGTGTCTCAGTCTAACATTTGCTTAATAAATGCACTTTAATGGTCAAATTAGCTGCATTTCGATGGGGTGGTGCAGCTGGTTTAACTGCAGAACAAAGCAGAACTGCAGCGAGCAGAGCAAAGGTGGGGGTAATATGGCAAGCCATTTGTATCATTAATGTCTGGTGAAGATTCTCGGTCATCCAGGACATGGTAAATTCCAAAAAGTTCAAGAAAATAACAATGAAATATAAAGTATAATAAAGTCCAGTTGTTTTTGTCTTGAACTTTTTTTGAATTTGTCATTATAGCCACGTTTACCTATTACATGATACAATGGCATGCCTGCCTACTACTACTCTGCTGCCATCAAGTGGCTGAAAGGGGTACTGCTCAATTTTTTTCTCAGTCAGAATGAAATAAAACGGTCATATCTCAGCCAAAAATTGGTTTATAAATATGGGGGGGGGGGGGGAATCCATAAATATGTCGCTTCGGCGTATAAGTCGCAAGGGATGAAAATTATGCAAAAAAACTGTGACTTATACAGTGAAAAATATGGTACTCATGACAGGTACCTCTCGCTCATGGTTCCAATTTTGCTACTAAATACTCATAATCCCACTTTGTGGCCATGTGACCAGAAGTCACCCTAATGATCAATGAGGTACCGTACTCTCATTGAGTCACAAGAACACACCCCCAATTTAGACGTGCACTGATCAGATTTCCAGTTTAAAAATCTGCTTTCTCCTTAGATACACTGCCTGGCCAAAAAAATAAGTTGTCACTTGGATTTAACTAAGCAAATAGGTACACGCCTCCTATTGGATAATTACTGCATGGGCGATCATCTTTCAGCTGCAACAAGTTATTTAACCCCAACTGGTGCAATGAGTTGCTTCTCATTTCTTAAACAACCATGTCTAAAGACACATGGCGTGGTCGTGGAAAAGATGTCAGTCTGTTTGAGAAGGATCAAATCATTGGCTGCATCAAGCAGAGAAAACATCTAAGGAGATTGCAGAAACTACTAAAATTGGGTTAAGAACTGTCCAACGCATTCTTAAAAACTGGAAGGATAGTGGGGACCCATGGTCTTCAAGGAAGAAATGTGACCATAAAAAAAACCTGAATGATCATGATCAGCAATCATTTAAACGTTTGGTGAAATTAAATCCAAGAAAAACAACAGTAGCACTCAGGGCAATGTTTAATAGTGAAAGTAAGAGCATTTCCACACGCACAATGTGAAGGGAACTCAAGGGATTGGGACTGAACAGCTGTGTAGCCTTATGAAAACCACTAATCAGTGAGGCTAACTGGAAAAAAAGGCTTCAATTTGCTAGGGAACATAAAGATTGGACTCTGGAGCAATGGAGGAAGGTCATGTGGTCTGATGAGTCCAGATTGACCCTGTTCCAGAGTGATGGGCACATCAGGGTAAGAAGAGATGCAGGTGAAGTGATGCACCCATCATGCCTAGTGCCTAGTCATCAATACAAGATCTTGGTGAAAAATTAATGCAACACTGGATGGAAATAGATCTTGTGACATCGCAGAAGCTTAATGAAACAATGCCACAGTGAATGCATGATGTGATCAAAGCTAAAGGCGGTCCAACGAAATATTAGTGTGCAACCTTTTTCTTGGTGGAGACTGACTTGGTGGATTAACTGACTTTTTATGTATGTCTAGACTGGACTATTGCAATGGTTTATTAACTGGGTGTCCAAATACTTCTTTAAAAAAGTCTTCAGTTAATTCAAAATGCTGCTGCCAGAGTCTTAACTGGAGTTAGTGGGAGAGATCATATCTCTCCAGTTTTAGTTTCTCTCTATTGGCTCCCTGTTAAATTCAAAATATAATTCAAAATCTTATTTCTAACCTACAAAGCTCTCAACAACCTAGCTCCATCTTATATTACAGGTCTTATTGTTTCATATTTTCCTAACAGAGCAGTTTGCTGTCAGACTGCAGGTTTACTTGTGGTTCCTAGAATTTACAAAAACAGAATGGGAGGCAGATCTTTCAATTATCAGGCTCCTCTCTTGTGGAACCAACTTCCAGTTTCTGTCCGTGAGGCTGACACTTTGTCCAGTTTTAAGACTGGGTTTAGACTTTTTGATAAATCCTACAGTTAGGGTTGACTTGTCATGCTGCCTTAGGCTTAGGTCGTTTTCACACCAGATAGTCCGGTAGACTCGGTTCGGGACCAATATTCATGACCTTTTATTTACATTTGAGCTGGTGCGTTTGCATTCACACTGCACTGTGCAGTCGAGTCAACCTGTTGAACCAACCTATTCCCCCGCTCGCCTGTGGGGGCGCTGCACCAAGAACTACTGAAAGAAACAACACAAAAACCTCTGAAGACACGTCTTCTTCTTCTTCTGTAAATAAAAATAAAAATGAAGTGGCATCAAGTTTTAGCAGTTTTAGGAGTAATATTTTGTCATTTTTCAAAAATGGACTTAGCATGAGCAGAAGACGAGACGGAAGACCATGGAGAATATTGTTTTTCCACACAAGGCAGCTGACGGCTCCATATAAGATCAGAGAAATGTGTGTTTGTTTACCCTGCGGAGCTGTCTGATTACATTCACACTGTACTTGAACCGCGCTGGAGTTCGCTTCTACCGGACTGAGACCTAGGTTTTAGCCCGGGCCAGAGTTCGCCTTTTTGTTCCGTGACAGAGTTCAATGGCGCATTCACACCTCCCTAAACGAACCGGACTTTCTAGGAAAACGAGCTAGAGTTCGATTAAAGCGGACTAAACAGGGCTGGTGTGAATGCACCCTTAGACTACCAGAGGACAAATTGACCTAATTTCCTTAAATGATTTGTTAAAATTGAATAGTTTTCATTTGATACTATTTCTATCTTAACATGTGATTCTCGACATGCCATTGTGTATCTGTTCCTGTCAAACCCAGCCGGTTGAAGCAGATGGCCGCTTGTCCTGAGCCTAGTTCTGCTAAAGGTTTCATCCTCATGAGGGTTTTTCCTTTCCACTGTCGCCTTTATGCTTGCTCAAGATGAGAATTCTGCGATGAAATTAAATTCAAAGCAGTCTGCTCCTCAGATAAATAGTGTTAACTTACTTTTTATGTATATGAATGTCTCTGTTCAGTGCCCTAACTTTGCACTATATAAATCAACTGAATTGAAATAAAGTAAAAAAACAAACAAACCTGAAACGGTGAGGGGAGGAAACCTGTATGAAATGGTAGCTGATATGGCCAAAATCGTCACGCTTAATGTTCATAGTGCATTAGATTAAAAAAGCACTTTTACGCCATTTCATTAGTTTCAATTTAAAACTATTAGAAAACTGCTAGCTTGAAACGTTTTACAGCAATCACCCCTTCAGTTCTTACCTCCGCCTCTCTCTTCATGGTGTCCACCTTGCTGATGAGCTTACAGTATGCCTGAAACAGCAGCAGCAGCTGAAAGTGCAACTTATAGAGCCTCCGACACAACTCCAACTCCTGCACAGACACAGACACAAACAGGAGTTGCATGTCGGTATGAAAGCCCAGCACTGGCACTGACATTACTTTGATCATCACGTTATTAGACAAATGGATGTCCTGGGTTAGAAATATGGGAATAGATGAAAGGATTAACATGGACTAGTACCATTTGGTTTAGGCCATGGATGAAGACATCAGAATAATTGATGAAATCTTTATTAATAAACTTTGCATCAGAATGTGTGATCCTGCCTACAAGCCTCAGCAGAAAAGACTAGATCCATGGAACTACATCAAAGTTTTAAATCCAGGGAAACATGGAAGGAAAAATATGATTTAAACAGATAAGAATAAAATCATGAACATGCAAAATGAAATGAAACTAAAAATATGAGCTTGTTTTAACTGAAAATAGCTCCTCTGAAATCAACTGAATACAAGACATTTATTTGAATACAGCTGTACTGATAACCCACAGAACTGAAAAACAAACAAATTGCATTACAGAATAACAGCGTCTAGTGATTGGGTGGATGAGGAAGCTGAATTGGGTCACATGACAAATTAAAGCAGAAAGAAACAAACAGAGGTGGGGGTAGGGTGGAGGCAGCAGAGCAGTTTGAGGCTGCAGACAGCGCAGAGACGGCGCTACAAGCAGAGATGAGGTGGTCAGCGTTTGTCTGGGTGTCATCGTTATTAAGATCTATAATAGGAGGACCACTTACTGCTAGATTTTCCATTTGCTAAGCAAGAAGGTGAGGTCACACAGAGAAACAACAACAACAGAGGGAGAGAAAGACCAAAAATTAGTGAGTTTTTACATGACAGCTGAGACATGGTGGCCTGAACTGCATGAAGCCATGATTTATCTTCTTCCCTTCACACGAGTCAGGGAAGGTTTGAAACACATGAGCTCTCCTCAGTAGTAACAGAAAAAAACTTTAAATGAAAAGTTAAATACCAGCACAGCATACATAAAAAAAGAGAGAAAATGTTCTGGTAGAAGGGAGGCTACACACAGAGGAATAGTAAAACAACTTGCATTAAAAAAACGTGCTTAATCGAACATTTACCTTTGGTAAAGTTTAAAGTGTTAAACAGAGGAGAATACGAGCAGAAAGTCAAAAGAGAAAAGGTAAAAATCTGTGCCATAGTTACACAGTTTTAAGTATAAATGTTGCTAACAGCTATTTGTCTTTCTCCGCCACAATGAAACAAGACAGTGACAGAAGACGTTTGGAAGAACTGCACTTAAACATGCTGTCCACATCCTGTCTGCCTGAACGTTAACATTTATCTAAGACGCCTCAACCACCTCCACTCACTCCGGTGAATGTGGAGGACTGGTGTTTCCAGATAAACAAAAATGTTTGTATTTTTATATAATAGTTTTATGGTCTCTATACAATATACAATAAATAAAATTTAAAAAGCCCAAATACACAATAATTTGGGCATTTCTGTGCATTGACAAAAAAACCTTTTTTTTCAGGTGGGCACCCACATATGATCAGAAAGGCTGATGCAACTAGCCAGACTGTGGGCTTTCCAGGCACACAACCCCCTCCTCTCATGTTTACCAGTCACAAAACACACCTCATCTTCACCTACAGATCTGGGCTTCATCCACAGTAATGAGGGTGTTGCTCCAGTCTGTTTTGGTGAAGGATAGCTTAACTGAAAGGCAAAGCTCTTGATTACTGGTGTTATTTTCCAAGTCTCACCTATGAAGTGAAGATCCTGGATCGTAGCAGCCTAAATGATTCTCCTCTGTAGGATAGTACGGCTCAGAGTTAAAGGATAAGGAGGTTCATTATCCAGGGGAATCTCAAAGTAGAGCCACTGCTCCTTCTCATCAAAAGGAATCAGCTGAGGTGGTTACGGCATCTGATAAGGATGCCTCCAGAATGCTTTTCCTCTGGAGTTTTCCCCCAACACATCCCACTGGGAGCAGACCCTATGGAAGATCCAGGACTGGCCAGAGGGATTGTATACTCTGAAGTCAAATGGATTTGGGATCTCTCCTGGAGGTGCTGGAGAGTGTTTCTGAGGAGAGGGATGTCTGGGTTTCCTGGATTTGTTGTTTCCTTAACCCGACCATGGAAAAGTGGAGGAAAATGAATGAATGGATGGATGAGTAAGCAGATTTGCTGCTATCAGCATCTGGACAAGTTACTGCTCAGAAACCATACGAACACAAAACCGCTTCAAACTCCTGTTAAGAAATCTTTCAAACTTCTTTTTCTTCTTGTCTTTTGAATAGAAAGTTGACAAACCATAACATTTTGCCGTACTGTAGCGAAACACACAAGAAACATGAAATAAAATGGACACTTTCCTGACACCTGGCTTTCTGTTGGACGTACACGATGCAATGCAAGATAGGAAACTCCAAAATCTCAAACACATAACATTGCTTTAAAAACACAACACTTGTTTTGGTCAAATATCCAAAGGAAGTCAAAGTTTTCTGTCTGCATTTATCAAGAGCTGACAAAAGAATGAAAACAGTATATCTCAGGCAGACAGTGTGATGTCAGTATTGTCAGACATCTGCAGGAAAACAAACATGTTTTAAGATGATAAGCCTGCTCTGCTTCAAATTCAATCTCAAGTTCCCATCTGCATGTACAGCTGAGCAAGACAAGATGTTTCAGTACATTTTATCAGGAAAAACTGGGTCATCTTTAAAATAAACTACTGCTCTGAGATCATGGCCGTCCTGATTAAAGGCAACTTTACTGGTTTTATTAAGCAAACTTTGTACAAGTTCATGTAAACCGGAGAATAGTGCAGTTCCATTCCAAAAAAATAAAAAAAATAAAATCCAAAGCAACATTTTACAGCTACATTTGTTCTTACCTGCGCATGAGTAATGGGCCTCTGGCTGTTGTCTTTGTCGCCGAAGGTTTTTCTACAGTTCTCGAGCCACTACAGGTGTAAGAGGTGAAACGCAGGACATGGACATAAAAAAACAGCTTAGGAGGAGGAGAAAATTGGCAAAACAGTTTTTTTTTTCCTGTCAGATATAAGCATTTATTGTAGTGTGTATTTCTAACAAAGGTTGGCCAGGAAGGAGATTTAATGAGTGTTGTACTTAAAGATGTCCTGTTCTCAAACACAGGATAGTATCTAGACCTCCAGAGAACACTGCCGTCTCATTAAATTAACATCTCTGCATCCTAAAACCCACTGCAATCTCATTTCTCTTCATTCCCCTCCCCCTTCCTTACTTATCCTCACATCTTCTCCCGCCTGGCCTTCTTGGAACAGAGCTAGGAGAGCTCATGGTTATTTTTAATCCTCCGGCAGGGCTTGTCAGTAGTAATGCACGCCCTAACGGCAGCTAAATCTACTCAAATCTAATATGATTCAGTGTCTGTCTTCCTGAGGAGGCAGTCTGGGCTTATCTTTTACAGTATCAGCTGTTTGTCTTCGTGTTCTCCTGGTTGCACGATTGCAGAGAGATGAAGGAAATTTTAATACATTTCCTCAGCTCATATCTCTTGGTTGAAATAAATAATGGTTAATTTTTCCTTCACTGTCATGATAACATCATGATACAGAACCTCAGAGTTTGTGAGATGTCGTGTTTCAGGAAAAAGATTTCAAAGAGAATCAGGATGCAGATCCAGGGAATGTTGTATGTAGGGAAAGATACAGTGACTTACGAGCTCCGCTGCTTCTCTTTTAGCATTGTATGTGTCCAGGTGCTCCTGCAACTCCAGCACACTGAACTTCAACGTCTCAAGAAGTCCACAAGAGACCAGCTACAACAGCAAGATCCATACATTAGACACAAAACATAAACACTGCACATAACTTGGAGATATAGACCAGAGCTATACAGCTAAACTGATCAGGGGACCACAGTTACTGAAAGCCAGCAGCTCAGACATCCAGCAGTTAGTCATTATGTAAATAAACCAAGTTTTACAATGATCTGTTACCTCTAAATTATTATTATTATTGTTTTGCATTGAATCATAAACACAATAAACGGAACCCAAAAGTGTAATTCAAAGAAATCATACTTTAAGATTATTTCCTTGCTATAAAAGTAGATAATCTAATATGAAACTCTATTAAAAACAACAACGACACACTGCCTCCTATTGAACACAAATATTATTCTGCCATCTCTGACTTGTCAGATCTTTACACTTTTCAAATTAAAAAGCGTACACTGTTCCTGATGTACCCTGAACGACCAACGTGTTCTGTTCCAGGTGGGTCCATTAAGAACCAGTTCTCACAATGAAGTGGCTGCTCAGACCAGTTCTTCCTCTACAGGTTCATAAATCCCAGCTGAAGCGTCCACGTTTCGCTCCGGTGTGAGCTTTGAGCTGAACCAAAAGAGGCAGAGCAGAACTCAGCTGGGCTGAAAGTGAGTGCACGATGCACGTGACAGCCTATCCATTAATGGATAGGCTGTCACAATAACAAATTTTTCTGGGCGATTAATTGTCTCAGGAATTATTGCAATAAACAATAATATAGTTTGAAATTTAAGAAGAAATGTTGGTTAATTTTGTGTGTAGTATCTTTTTTGACCACTGAATGGCAGTACAAGACTGTTTGAACCAAGGAATGGATAATGAGGGAAAGAGCAGCGTCTCTCTAAGAAAAATGGGAGGGAGGCCCCTTGACGTGACATGAGCTGTCTCTCTTTGGTTCTCAAAATGGCGGACGCTTGATGTGGTTTGAGCTATTTAGCATAGCATTTGTCACACAAATCGTTTAATAAAACATCAGTAAACAAGTTCTCAGCTGCTTTTTGCAGAGAAAAACAACTTTTTAGACAAAGGCACGGGTTTCAACCGTGAATTTTGGAGCTTTGACAAGACGGAGGTTTTTCCCGAGCTGGCCTGTTAGCTTAGCTCGTAGCTTAGCTTCTCAGCTCAGCTTCTTTTAACGATCCAAAAACGCGATTTTGGATCGTTAAAATGTATTTTAAAGAGAAAAGAGAAAGGGAGGAGACAGTAAAGAGCACTGGAGTTGACTCTTGTCATCCAGTGTCTTCAGTAGAAAGAAAGAAACACGAAGAAACGATAATGCCGATAAATGAAAATGAGGTCGATAATTTAATTTATCACGCGATTAATTGATTTATTGTTTATTGTGACAGGCCTACTAATGGATTAACTGAACCAATCCTTTTTGTGGTCAACTGTTTTTAAACTAACTACTAAGCTACTGTGTGTCCTCATCAATATTCCCCCAGTAATAAATCTGTTTGTTGCTGTTTAGTCTGGCTCGCGGGCGATCACACACTGATACGATCAATTTATCAGTACTCCCTGCACAGCAGGACAGAGAGGAAGAGACACCCCCACGAGAGCGTGCCGTCTGACTAATTTAATTCTTACAATAAAACATTATTAACACCAAATCACAGATATTTGTAGGCCCCAGATTTAATCAAAGATGTGAGTCTGTTTAACTTTATTTTATTTCCTCCAAACTCTCAAAGTTCTCTCTGCGAGAGAGTCCCAGAGAGACTGTGTGAGCTGCAAAGCATGCTGGGTAGCCTTGTGGAAATTATATATGTAATGTTTCTGAGTGTTTATGATGTTTCTGAGTGGAAATGAGTTACATCGATTTTCTTCCGCTTATCCGGGGTTGGGTCACGGGGGTAGCAGCCTAAGTAGGGAGGCCCAGACTTCCCTCTCTCCAGCCACTTGGGCCAGCTCTTCCGGGGGAATCCCGAGGTGTTCCCAGGCCAGCCGAGAAACATAGTCCCTCCAGCGTGTCCTGGGTTTTCCTCTGGGCCTCCTTCCGGTGGGACATGCCCGGAACACCTCACCAGGGAGGCGTCCAGAAGGCATCCTAAACAGATGCCCAAGCCACCTCAACTGGCTCCTCTCGACGTGGAGAAGCAGCGGCTCTACTCTGAGTCCCTCCCGGATGATCGAGTTTCTCACCCTATCTTTAAGGGAGAGCCCAGACACCCTGCGGAGAAAACTTATTTTGGCCGCTTGTATCCGAGATCTCATTCTTTCGGTCACAACCCAAAGCTTGTGACCATAGATGAGGGTAGGAACGTAGATCGATCGGTAAATTGAGAGCTTCGCCTTTTGACTCAGCTCTCTCTTCAACACGACAGACCTGTACAGCGCCCGCTTCACTGCTGACGCTGCACCTATCCGTCTATCGATCTCACGCTCCATTTTTCCCTCATTCGTGAACAAGACCCCAAGATACTTAAACTCCTCCACTTGGGGTAGGACCTCCTCCCTGACCCGGAGAGGGCACTCTATCCTTTTCCGGCTCAAGACCATGGCCTCGGATTTGGAGGGACTGATCTTCATGCCGGCCGCGTCGCATTCGGCTGCGAACCGCTCCAGCGAAAGCTGTAGATCATGATCTGATGAAGCCAATAAGACCACATCATCTGTAAAAAGCAGAGACACAATCCTAAGGCCACCAAAACAGATCCCCTCAACACCTTGGCTGTGCCTAGAAATTCTGTCCATAAAAGTTATGAACAGAATCGGTGACAAAGGGCAACCTTGGCGGAGTCCAACTCTCACCGGGAACAAGCCCGACTTACTGCCGGTGATGCGGACCAGGCTCTGACACAGGTCATACATCTCCCAGCATAGATCTTGGCTCACTGTCATTTTATCTCAAGGACTGTGTCACCAATCTGGGGGTGAAGTTTGAGTCTGATTTTAAATTTGAAAAACAGATCAGCAGTGTTGTTCAGAAAAGTTTTTATCAACTCTGCCAAATAGCAAAAGTGAAACCAATCCTAGCAAGACCTGACTTGGAGAAATTAATCCATGCTTTTATCACAGCTCGTCTTGACTACTGTAATGCGCTGTATGCAGGCATTAGCCAGATGTCACTTGCTTGTCTGCAGCTTGTGCAGAACTCTGCTGCTCGCCTGTTAACTCAGGCTCGTAGGCGCGAGCATATTACTCCCATCCTGGCGTCCCTTCATTGGCTCCCTGTGCACTACAGAATTAATTTTAAGCTTTTGCTGTTTGTTTTTAAATGTCTGAACAACCTTGCCCCACCATATCTGTCTGAGCTGCTTCAGCCTTACTGTCCACCCCGATCCCTACTATCAGCTGATCAGCTGCTGCTGACAGTCCCTAAAACTATGCTGAAGCTCAGAGGTGACAGAGTGTTTGCTGTTGTTGCTCCCAGGTTGTGGAACAATTTACCCTTGAGTGTCAGACAGGCCTTCTCTCTTCCTGTTTTTAAATCTCTTTTAAAGACACACTTTTATTCTTTGGCTTTTAACACGTGATCTTATCTTTTACAGCTTTTTAATACACCTGCTGTGAAACTGGTATGTGAATGGTTTTTTATGTTTCTTTGTGTATGCTTTGTATGTTCTTATTGTTTTAATTGTTTTTATTGTTTTATTGTGCAGCACTTTGGCTACCCTTGTGGTTTTTAAAATGTGCTATATAAATAAAGTTGATTGATTGATTGATTGATACAGGGACCTAACAGCCCGTATCAAAGGGCCCGGTACCCCATACTCCCAGAGTACCCCCCACAGGGTTCCCCGAGGGACGCGGTCGAACGCCTTCTCCAAGTCCACAAAGCACATGTAGACCGGTTGGGCAAACTCCCACGCACCCTCCAGGACCCTGCTGAGAGTGTAGAGCTGGTCCAGTGTTCCACGGCCAGGAAGAAAACCGCACTGCTCCTCCTGAATCTGAGGTTCGACTATCCGACGGACCCTCCTCTCCAGAACCCCCGAGTAGACCTTACCAGGGAGGCTTAAGAGCGTGATTCCCCTGTAGTTGGAACACACTCTACGGTCCCCCTTTTAGAATAGGGGGACCACCACCCCGGTCTGCCAATCCAGGAGAACTTCCCCCGATGTCCACGCAATATTGCAGAGTCGCGTAAGCCAAAACAACCCTACAACATCCAGAGCCTTAAGGAACTCCGGGCGAATCTCATCCACCCCTGGGCCCTGCCACCGAGGAGCTTTTTAACCACCTCGGTGACCTCAGCACCAGAGATTGGAGGGCCCGACCCAGAGTCCCCAGGCTCTGCTTCCTCAGTGGAAGACGTGCCAGTGGGATTGAGGAGGTCTTCAAAGTATTCCGCCCACCAACCCACAACATCCCGAGTTGAGGTCAGCAGCACACCACTCCCACTATAAACAGTGTTGGGTGGTGTACCACTTTCCCCCCCTGAGACGCCGGATGGTGGACCAGAATCGCCTCGAAGCCGCGCGGAAGTCATTCTCCATGGCCTCTCCGAACTCCTCCCATGCCCGAGTTTTTGCCTCAGTGACCACCTGAGCCGCATGTTGCTTGGATTGCCGGTACCCATCAGCTGCTTCCGGGGTCCCACAGGCCAAAAAGGCCCGATAGGACTCCTTCTTCAGCCTGACAGCATCCCTCACCGACGGTGTCCACCATCGGGTTCGAGGGTTGCCGC